ATTTCATGAGAGCATAAATACTCATTCCCTTCTAAAAGAGAATAAAGCTCGGTAGAGAGCTTATGTATGAAATGCATGTACAGTGTGTGTGAAGGAATAAAAAAAATTAAACAAACTTTCTTGTTCAAATAAATAGATGAAATAAAAAAAAAAACAAATTAGTAAACATACTAGAAATAAAAAAATAATTAAATTAAGATCACCCAAATAAGCCTTAAAACAACATAAGATTAAAAACTAGTCCACCCTCTAACTCTCTAGTGGAGTCATCAAACTATCATAAAGTGTAAGTTTGAAAACTAACCCATTAGACACAATACATGGAGTTGCCACCAATCTTTTTTATCTAAGTATGATTGGTCACCTAAGTGAATTTACCCTTTCTAAGATTATCCTAAGCTTGATTATAGGTCCTTAAAAAGAATAAGCCCTGATCTTTTAACAAAATTAGGTTCGAGAGTTCAATTACATGTAAGAAGGTTATAGCACCCCTACAATACTTATAAATTGATGCCAATTAATCTTAAATGATCTCTTTAGCCTTAATTAACATGGTCCTAATTTATTTTTACCATTTTTATTATTTAAATTTTTAATATTTAAATATTAAACACATTGTTAGGTTGTCTTCAACACCTTAGTCGACCCCCTAAAATTATTTTTCACCTCAAGAGTATTCAAGTAACATTTTGGTTTTTTTGAAATGGCTCTGTTGTTAGATTTATTAAATATTTTATAGAACTAAATTAATTTAAATATATAAAATAAAATACACAATTCAATAAATTACAATAATCAAATACAAAATTTACCTCATGTAATCACAATTTATCTAATAATTAATCATGTAATTAAATTGCCATAATTTATTTCAATTTTATTTTTTGAAATTAGAAATAAATAAAAATTCTTATATTGAGATCAATTTCTAAATCATCTAATGCCTTGATCGAATTTAGAAAAAATTCTCACCTAAAAATTTCTTAGAAAATTACATGCTTGTAACTTTCTTAGAATTCCATCATTGGACAAATTTTTATTTATCTCTAATTATTTTACAAATTACATTTTTTACAAATCAAATAAATACAAAATTTTAAAATTAAAATAAATAACTTAATCAACATAAATTAACCAAACATAATAAAAGGAAAAAAATCAAAAATCAAAAATGAAAAATCAAATTAAAATAGAAAAAGGAATTCATGCGAAATAGGTTGGGCTGTACTTTGGGCCAGTGTACAGGTTCAATCTAGTCAAGCGCGGGTTTGGAAAAATTTTTTAAGACTAAAACGATGTTGTTTTAGTGAGGTATATTAAGCGCAAAAAATATTTTTTTTTCACTTTTCCCTTATACTTTCTCTATCTAATTAATCTTTATTCTAACTTCTATATAAAAAAGAGTTTGAATGCTAGTTGAAAAATTCAAATGTTGCTGGAAAATTGATCGAAAAATTAAAAGGCTCTCAAAATTGATTGGAAAATTTAAACCTTATTAGAAAGTTGATCGAAAAATTCAAGATTTCTAAAAAAAGTTCAAAAAATTCAAAAAAATTCCTAAACCCATAATTTCATTCCCTTTTTATTTCCCTAAATCTAAACCCCTTAAATCATAACTGATGCTATAATCTAACCAAAGAACTTTCCTTAAAAATAATACTGCCATAAAAATTTGTACTTTTATTTTTTGTTGATTTCTCATGAATATCTTTTTTTGCTCTCTTTCTTTTGTTTTTCTAATTAATCCCTCTATGTGAATTGTAGCTCTTTAAATAGGCCTTTAATCCTAATCATATTAGAACAAGATTTTCTTCATTACTTCTCCTAACTTAACTTAACCGTAGATTTTTTAATCCTAGTATCCTTCTCATCTTTTTTTCAAAATAAGCCCATATATGTTCCTTTTGCAATTGGATTTTAAATTCAATCACTCCAATTAGAATCCATCATTCCCTAAACTTATTTCCTTTCTTTTAGTTTCGGCCAAACTTCTTTTCTTTTTTTCTTTAAAAAAAAACCATAAATCCATAAATTAATAAATAATCCTAAACCAAATAAATAAAGTAAAATAACAAAAAATTCTTTGATTTAATTTTAGACACAAATTAGAACTAGACTAAATAGAGTATCTATAGTACTTGCTACCTAATTTTCTTGTATGCTTGGAGTTGCTCACCCACTAAGAATTATTTGCTCAACTACCTCTACTAATGTCCCGTCAATGTGTAATCTCATGATGGATCAACTAGCTTGAAATCATTAAATACTACCAACTTATAACCAATATGGATTTCTTTAAGCTCAATGTGGACTTTCTATCAACTATCAATTGCCTGCATTCCATCATTAGCCATATCTTATATAAAAGGTAAAAGGAGATCCAAATATACTATTCTGAACTTTCTTACTTAAATTTTCTTCATTACTTTCATTAACTCCCATCTTTTTTTTTAACCCTAATATATTTTATCTTATTTATTTAAATGTCGAAATGCATCTTGAAGAACAAACTTCGATGCCTCTTAGCCATGCTTTCCTTGCTACAAATTCAATTTCTATCCAGCTCACCATCCAATTGAACTCCACTTCATCACTACTCAAAAGTACCATCGACAAACTGTAATGAGCATTATGTGATGCCCTACTTTAAACTCATACTTTGGTAAAGATGTCTTGTCAATGAATTTAGCGTTGCGATTAAAATGTTCCATATATTAATTCTACACTAATCGAAAAATATTCAACTTGCTTTTCATTCGAATTGGAAGCATAGCTATAAAAATTTTTGCCCAAAACTTGTTAAGATTATGATAGTTTTGATACAAGTTGTTAGGCAAAAAGCCCCTAATGAAATTAAACATTCATGCTAATAGAAACAAAACCAAACAATCAATCAATTACACAAGAGATATCAATTTAACATGGTTAAGCCAATCGGCTTATATCCACGGATGAGAGAAAAGATTTACTAGTTGTATAAAATTACAAACATACAATCTGAATCAACCACTCAATAATTAATACCTATAGTCTTTCTCATTCTTCTTTTATCTTATGGAATATTCTCAATAAACCTGATGATTTGTGTATTTATGCCATGTAAAATGCTAAAATTAGTGTATTTGTATCATGTTTTACACGAAAATTGTATATCACAAGTCGTGTTGACACAAAAACATGAAATATATTTTTTTTGTTTTATTAAACCCATATATAGTTATTGCAAAAATTTTAAGTCGTGTAACCTTTGTGTTTTCTTTTCATATCATGTTTGTGTCATATCGTTATGTTATGTTTTAGATTGTCAGGTTTAATTCTTAACCCAAACAAATGCACACTCGTGCACTTATGCATCATATCTATAGAGACCATTTTATTCTTTTTTAGTCCACTCAAACGTACACTCTAATAAAGAGGTTAATCTTCTAATGTCTTTCCAATAAAATCTTATAACTTTTTTACATTTTTTACTCATACTCCCTCTATTTATAACAATATTATCTTGTCTATTAAGAATTTATTTCCTTTTAGAATTCTTCTTCTGTAAGTCTTTTTGTCCATCAAAAAATATTTAGTCAATCTCTTCTCGAATAAATCTCTATCAAAATCGCTTTTGGAATTTTAATCACTAATCCTAACAATTTCTACCTTAACTCAAATTCTACCAAATTATCATTATTCATGCTAGACATACTTGGCTCCACCTACATTGAAAATCTCATAATAATCTTTTCTTATATCTTCACGTAAATCGATCTTTAAAATACAAACACGAACTCTACCTTTAAATCAATCTCTTTTGGGCTTGCCTCTTTTCACGTCTTGAACCTATTCTCTAATACCAATTATTAGGATTACAACAACTTTAATATAGTTGTTAGGTAAAAAGCCCCTAATCCAATTGAACATTCACACTAGTGGAAGCATATCAAATGATCAATCAATCACACAAAAGGAAGTAATTTAATATGGTTCAGCCCAACCAATTTACATTCATGGATGAGAGAAAATATCTACTAATTATAGAGAATTACAAGCATACAATATCAATCAACCATTCAATAATTAATACATATAGTTTCTCTCATTCTCTTCTAATTCTGTGGAGTATTTTTAACTCAAATAAATACAAACTTACGTGCACTCATGCACTATATTTATGTAGACGATCTCATTCTCCTCTAGTCTACTCAAATATACACTATCATAAAGACGTTAATCTCTTAATGTCTACCCAATAAAATCTTACAACTATCTTATATCTTTTTCTCATATTCTACCATTTATAAACATGCTAACTAGCCTATCAAGACTTTTTCTCTTCTTAGAATTTTTTTTTTTATAAGTCTTCTTATCTATCAAATAATAACTAATCAATCTCATCTCGAACAAATTTTTATCAAAATCTCTTCTGAAATTTGAATCACTATTCTCTATAAAGTTAAGGATTGATATAAAGTACAATCAATTGATATATCCTAAGGCCTTTAATGTCTGTCATTGTTTGCTTGGAGGATTAGATTTAAAACACTTGAGGTAGTATTCAAGCAATGAAGTGTTGCTAAATACATTGTTGATTAGAGGATCATCTCTATTAGCAAACATTGGTTTTTTCTTTAAATTCTCTCCCTACTTTTTTTAATTAATCTCTTAGATGATTGAAGAATGGTATTCACAAAGAAGATTATTAGAATGAAGATAAAAAAAATGAAGAAAATGGACAGGGAATCCTACAACCTAGGGCACAAAATGAAGATAATACAATTGTAAGGGAGAAGTTATGGCTCAGTAAGCAATTGAATGTTAATCCGTTTTCATACATGGATTTTAAACTTTAACCCGTATCATTCATATTCTTTCTTATTAGTTTTATTTCCGTATCACGTCCAAAATTACAAAACCCAAATAGAAAAAGTGGCGGGCCCCATTGATGGCCAGTTACCAGAGAAATAACATAACTCAATTAAGAAATTACTGGCGCCTGCAGTTTCCTTGTTTTCGGTTATACTCGTAAGGCTCGTCTCATCCCAACCCGAACCTAAGCTTCGGATTCCCATCCCCCCTCCCCCCAACGCTACAAATTTAAACGCCTCGGTTTGCGTCACCTACTGTTCTTTCGCTCTGAAAAACCCGATACCCCTCGTTTTGTTTGATCCAACGCAGACGTCCAATGGCGGACCGCGAAGAGACGCTGAGGGAGATGATCGCCGAGAAGATCCACGGCGATTCCTCATCCTCTTCCGATTCCGACGACGACAAGCTCTCTCACGCTGACGTTCTCAAATCCGAAGTTTATCGCCTCTTTGGCAGAGAGAAGCCTCTTCACCAAGTCTTAGGCGCTGGAAAACGTACTCACAATCTAAATCTTAACCTATCTCTTAGGATTTATCATTTTATTTGTTTAGATTCTGCGAAATTATTTTATCAATTGTTTTTGTGATATTTGGTCATTTAAATGAATGTCGGTTGCATTTTATGACATGCTCTGTTTTGTTTATTGGTTTTATCTGACTTTTAAATTATGGAATTGCTAAAGTAATTTATTTCGATCAGATCGTTGCTAGTTTTTTCAAATCATGCATTTTCTTACGTTTTTTATTTAGTCCAGATACGAAATCTTTCTAAGCTATGATTTCAGCGAAATTGTGTTGATTTTTGTGCTTTTTTTTTTTGACGTTTATGTGATTTGTGAATTATGAATGCATCGTTCATAGTTTTGAATCTGTTCTTCATTTGAAGGGAAGTTTTGTTGAATCTTTCTAAAAGGATAATATTATGAATTTATCAATCAATATTTCTTGGCAAAAGCTTATGGCAAAAATTCTGTACCATCCTATTATTTATCTATTTTCTATTGTTTATTATCATCTTTCTGTTAATTGAATCTTGTTTTGCAGTTGCTGATGTCCTTCTATGGAGGAACAAGAAAATTTCTGGAAGTGTGCTTGGTGGTGCAACAGCATTGTGGGTTCTCTTTGAAATGCTTGAATACCATTTAATCACTCTGCTTTGCCATATCTTGATACTCTCTTTATCAATGCTTTTCCTGTGGTCCAATGTCTCTAACTTCATCGACAAGTAAGGTTTTCAAACATTCTTCTTTATGTCCTTATGGTTGTGTGATTGAATTTTGTTGTAACGTACAACTTTGTTCGATACGAAGTTCTCCACCAAACATTCCAGAAGTTGTACTTCCTGAAAAGTGTGTCCTTGAAGTTGCATCTGCTGTCAGAATTGAAATTAACCGAGCTCTAGATGTTGTGCGAGACATTGCATCTGGAAGAGATTTGAAGACGTTTCTTGGTGTATGTTAATATCTGCCTTGATTTCTTCTAGTTGCCGTGCTATTTTGACTAAAGTTTAGACCTCACAATCCACCTATTCGTGGCCTGCATAACATGAGAAATTTACGTATTTACGTCATATTTTATAAAAAATTATATACTATAATTCGTGTGTAAATAAAAATTATGAAATTTATTTTTTTATTTTTTTTAAACTCATATAATTTTTGCTAACATTTTTTTTTTGAATTATTTTTATATTATATTTTAAATTGCCAAGTCTAATTAAGATTACTTACTAGGAATTGCTTCGCTGTTATGTTCCATAGGTTATTGCTGGATTATGGATTCTGTCAATTGTGGGCAATTGTTGTGACTTCTTGACATCGTTCTACATAGGTAATGAATTTGATTATAATATATTTTAAACTTTCTGGCTTTTATAACTGAGGCTAGATTGATTTTATGACAGTATTTGTTCTGCTACATACTGTGCCGGTGTTTTATGAGAAATATGAGGACAAGGTTGATTCATTTTCTGAGAAGGCAATAGTTGAGATCAAGAAGCAGTATGCAGTATTTGATGAGAAGGTTCTGAGTAAGATTCCATTGAAAGAGAAGAAGAAAGATTAGACGACATGAAAGTTTCTTTTTTTTTTTTTTTTTCTGAAATCAATTAACTATGGCATTTTGATCATACCCTCTTGAGTCCCAGTTTCTACCTCATCTTTTAGCTGAACATTTCCTCATTGAATATGGCATTTAATGATGCTTAGTTTAGATCACATGGTTTTGCGTTGTTAATTTTTTAATCTATTATTGATGCCCACATTGAATTCTTGGCTTTTAGAATTATGTTATTTAACTCGATCTTTAAATGTTGTACTGAATTTAAGAATTACAATAACCTTTTCTTTTAAAAAAAGAATTACAAGAACCTTTTCCCGATGCATTATATGGAATTATAAAACATATAAAGTATGCGCTTGGAGATGTACCAATCTAAACGGCAACTGGAATTACAAATACCTATTGGGGTGAAATAGGCTTATTCAGCTGGCTTTTATATTTGAACGTACCGTCTCGTACAGCCTGTTGCGGTGAGTTTGGACTAAGAATTTTAAAATTTTAAAAAATTTTGAAATAAAAATATTTTAAATTACATCGTTTCAAAATGCTAATTTAAAAAAAAATTGAATTTTATGAAATAATAATAATAATAATATGACTATCAATAGATTTGTAAAATGTATAGATATTATTAATAATATAAAAAAATAAAAAATATATTAGAGTTAAATAAAATGATTTTTTTTTAAGTTTTATATTTTGTGGCGAGTTACGTGGAAGGGATGAAAATTTTGGAAGAATTTTACAAATTTACCTCTTTAGGTGGAATTTCAAGAGTGAATTCGACTCTTGAAATTCCTCCTAAAATTTAAAATTTTCTCTTGTTTTTATTCAAATAAATAAATTTATTTTAAAAATTTTTAAATCATAATTGAAATGAAATTTGTAATCCAAATGTCTCATCTAAACATACCCTTGAGATGAATCTGGGTTGAAAATTTTAAAATTCTGAAGAATTTAAAAATGCATTAATTCAAAATAACAGAATTTATAATTTCATTATTTAGATAATTACTTTTTAGAAAGATATTTTAAATATTAAAATTTGATAAGATAACAAATGTTATAATGGATAAGTAATGATATTAAAGATCTAAAAAGCAAAGTATTAAAAATATATATAATATGAGTGTTATTAGATTTGTAAAAATATATAAATATTACTGAAAATATAAAAAATTAAACAAAATTTAAAATAAAATTTTGTAATTAAAGTTAAAGAAAACAAAAATTGCATAAAAAATATATATACATATATACATAATAAATGTTGACTTCTTATTATAAAACTAAAAACTTTTACAAATTTCACCTCCGTAAATAAAATTTGAGAAAAAAAAATTGAACTTTCCAACATTCTTCATTCAAATTCAAAAAATATTGACATTTTTAATTTTTATTATTTCAAACAAAATAATTTTATTTTAAAATTTTAAAAATTCCTCTACAAATAAAATTCCTCTTAAATATTTCTCATCCAAATCACATACTTAGAGCCCACAATATCCCCTGTTGATCATTAATTCTCATAGATGGTTATCATCTGCCGCTAAATTTCATGTCGTTCCAATAGGGCACCCAAAAGTCACTAAACTGAGCAACAAAAATGATTTAAGGGAATCGGGGAGGATGCCTTCTTCTATCTATTACATCTTTGAGCTGATAAGTTTATACTCGCACGTGGATGATAAATACGTCAATATCATTATTTGAAATTGAATTTTTATCAAAATAATAATAATAAATATTTAGTGCAAATTATAATATAGAACCATTATTATTATATCAAATAATTAAATTTATTTAGTTTATTTAAATTTAATAAAAGAATAGAGTTAGAAAATCTATTAGTTTTTTTTTTAATGCCATTAACTATTACACCCCTTTTTCTTTTTGCAAGATCTAGTAGATGGTTTTTTCGTTTTGGTACATTTTTTATATATTAATTTCTTTTAATTTTGAATTTCAATTATATATCATATATATATATTCTAGTATATATAAATACTAGATTATAACTCGTGCAATGCACAAAATAATTTTATTTATTTAATATAAATATATATATATATATATTAGTTTTTTTTTAAGTTATATTCAAATCTTTAATACACATAGCATATGAAAAATTTATATATATTCACTTGTCATTAAAAAATAAAACTTTATAAAAATAGTAAGAAAAAATTGTATCTTTTTTCTTATATTTTTGTTTACAATAATATTTATACACCTGTAATATTATATCAAATAAAAATAAATTATGCATTTTTTTAAAAAATAAATATATATTATTGAATGATAATTAAATAATAAAAAAGTATTAAAATACTTTTACTTTAGTAATATTAACTAAAGTTACTTAAATTTTTAATGTCTTATATAAATTTTTTAAAAGGATAATTTTTTAAATCAAGATAAAAAGATTATGAAAGATTTGATAACTTAATCTTTACAAATTTAAAATATGTTTGAAAGATTTTGATAATTAAATTTTTTTTTGAATAATGTTATTCAATAAACAACTAAAAATATTTATTAAAAAAATAAAATTCATATTTTTATATTTTTAATATAAAAAAATCTCTAAATTGATGTGATTTTTAATTATAATTTGAATAATTTTGATATCTGAATAAATTTAAAATTATCTAATTTGTAATTAAAAAAAACTATCTTATTTTTTAAAAGAACTATCCTATGTGTCATTTAAAAGAGTTGTCTACATAAGTGCTTATGTGATAAACTTATTTATGTATATTGTTATATAATATATATATATATATATATATATATTAGATTTGATAAGATTTATCACGTGATTGTCTACATAGATAATTTTTTTAAATGACATGTAAAATAGCTTTTTAAATGAGTAAAATAGTTTTTTAATTATAAATTAAATAATTTTAAAATTTCTCAAATAGCAAAATAATTCAAATTATAATTGAAAATCAAATTATTCTAGATATATGTTTTTTAAAATTAAAAATTTGAAATATGAATTTTATCTTCATAATAAATAATTTTAATTGTTTATCAAATAATCTTATTTAAGAAATTATTTAATTATCAAAATCTTTCAACATGTTTAAATATTACAAAGATTAAATTTATCTAAATCTTCCAACAATTCTTTTTATTTTGATTTGAATCAATAAAAAATTATCTTTCGAAAATTTATGTAAGAGATTGAAAATTCAAATAACTTTTCATATTAAATGTTTAAAATAAGAAGACTATAAAAAGGATTATATTTAACTCAATTTTAATTATCAAATTTATACTTCAAATATATACAAAAATTTTGATTTCATCTTTATTACTTATTATATCTCTTTTAAATTAAAAAAATTAATTTAAAAATTATTTATTCAATTCTAATTGTCATTCAATAGTTCTTCTACAAGTTTAAGAATATAAATGCAATGTGTTATATCAATTTTTTTTTCATTTTATAACTTTTTTAAAAGTAAATTCCATTACTATTGTAATTTATTTTTTTGTTTTACATTTTTTTCAAGATATATTTTGTTACTATTGTAGTTTCTTAATTATGAAAAATGATATTTTTTTCAAAATTTTTTCATATATTTCTTAATATTTTCATATTTTGTACAACAATTTGATCAAAATTATAAAAGTGAAAGTATATTAATATTTCTTTTATTATTTAAATTATCATTTAATAATATATATGTTTTGTTTTTTAAAGAAAAATATAATTTGTTTTTATTTGATATATCTTGCAAGTATATAAATATTATTGTAGATAATATTGTCCAAAGGGAAGATATGATATTTTTTCTTACTTTTTTCAAAATGTTTATTTTTTAAATTAGTATATATAAATTTTATATATGTTATAAATTTTAAAAATTTTAATATAATTTTGAAAAAAAACTAATTTATATGTATATACTTATATTAAATAAATAAAATTATTTCGTATATCATACGGATAACAATCTAATTACAATATATAAAAATAACTAATTTGTTATGGCACATAGATAACATCACTATGTTATGTTAGATGATATGATAATATTACATCAATCAATCATTGGCTTCTACAATTGAGTAACCAAAAAATAAATTTTAAAAACATTGATGATTAAATTATTATTTTTTATAGTTGGATGATCAAACTAAAAATTTATCTAAAGTTTAATGATTAATCATGTAATTTACTCTATATTTTTCTTAATCTATTTAGGTCATAATTACATTTTAGCGGTTAGAAATATTTTATTTTCTTATTTACCTTCATCTTTATAAATCGAACAAAATTAAAAAATTACAAAAAACTTTTACGAATACTTTGATATTAACAAATATATTTAAAGATAATAAAATAGTTTGTAACTGACGAGTTTTAATCTGTTAAGATCTGATAAGATTGAATATATTTTTAAAATTAAAAGTCAAGTCGAAAGCGAGTCAAGATTTTTTTTAAAATCAAATTTTGATTGATGTAAGGTTTTAGGTTCCACTGTTCCAACCAAATATGAGTATATATAAAAATATATATTTTTATTATTTATTTAATTATTTAATTATATATATTATTATATTAAAAATTTATTATTTAATAGTTAATTTATATTAAAAATAATATTTTTTAATTATTATATTAAATTAAATTTAAATAAAATGAAATTAGTTACAATTTATAAATATATGATTAGATAGAATAAAAAAAATATTTTAATGTCAAGTTAGATCGAAATCGGATGTAAATGTTATGAGATTGGATCGAACAAAAACCTATTCCGACTTATTGCCATTCCTGACCGTATTACATATAGTTAATATGTAGCAATATAAACAGTACATTCACCTTCATATCTGCAAACATTGAAAAATTACACCCATAGAAACACAACTTCCACATCTATTTTTATTATATAAAATCTACGGTAAGTCCAATGTCAGCAAAATGATATCTACAGATAGTTACATTACTCTGTCCGGTAGAAAGAACATTCATGTACATGGGTCAACTCCAACGTTCAATGAAACCGTCTATCTCTGTAGGCTATCTTCTTTACGAAAGATTCTACTAAAATACTTCTAAACAATGGGCTTTTTCTCCCATCTACATATGTTTCTAGGATAAGCCCATAATCTAGAAATGGGTTCTTCGTCTGACTCGCTATCGCTATCTGAAGAAGATATCATTGATATACAACCATCCGTTATGTACTCGACAACCTGAACCATGGGGAACGTTTAGTGTACATGAAATGAAAACCTTAAAGCAGCAATATGAAATTACAAATACCTGTTGGGGTGAAATAGGCTTAATCAGCAGGCTTTCATATTTCAGCTCACATTGTCTATCAGAGCATTTCCAGTTGTTGAGCCAAACAACCGTGTTACAATGCCCACAATAACCCCTATTGGACATTAATTTCTTTGAAAAAGTGCCTGATATTCAGAACATTATTTAAACGACTGTAAGATGGGAAAGATGATTTGCAAGTGAAATATTCAAAAGTGTGCACCGCCATGCTAGAGAGATTCTGGGAGGTCCATCTTGAGAAGATATCAAAAAGCTTACAAACATTGTTTGCAGCAACACTTAGAATGCATATGAATCATTAACAAAGTGATTAGACATAAATTATGTGTATATGGATCATTAACAAAGTGATTACACATAAAATTATACGCGTATGGATCATTACAAAAGTGATTAGACATAACATATAAGTCCACATATACTGCATACCTATATATGCTCTTTTAAATGTCTCTTTCCAATCAATATGGGTCTGCGAAACCACATTCTCCTCCAGAAACGTACAATCCTCTTTCAGCAATCTGCCACCCCACTGCATCTTAGTCCTAGAATAATTGCCAGATCTGCCAAAGACTATGGTATATTGCAATTTCCATAGATGGTTATCATTTGCTACTAAATTCCATGACCTTCCAAAAGAGCAACCAAAAGTAACTAAACTAAGCAACAAAAATTTTAAAGGAATCAGAAAAGGATGCCAACTGCTATCTATTACAACTTTAAACTAGTAAATACATCATAATAATGGAAAGCCAGCATCAAAAAGGGAGGAAAAGTTACCAGCAGACTTGTGCTACAGAGATTAAAGATTGCAAATCCAGTAAACTAAATATGTAAACAAGAACATCTTGAGGCAATTGGGCAGACCCTGAAATATATAGGGAGGTAAAAACATGAGTAGTAGTTTGAAAAAAAAAAAAAGATATTTGATTAACACCAACTATATGGTTACCGTTCTCAACTTTATACTCTGAAATTCAGTTTGGCTAAGAGCCTAAGACATTGAGTGGCACCTATTTAAAAAGTTTACCTTTTTCTTCCCTGTGTGCTTTCCTTCGTCTTGTATGAGCAACCTTTGCATGCTTAAACTCTGTAACAACCAAACTCTTCTTCTGTTTTGGCAAAGTAGCTTCTGCACTCTGGAGTAGGAGATGAGCTGCTGCAACAGCACCACCTGTCTGCATTCTAAATTTACAATAAACTTCATAAATACAAGAAATAAAAAAAAAAAAAACAAAAACGATGAACTATATTATCTGTATGATAGTGTATACATAGTGTGATGTAACAATCAACCCAAAACATATAAAGTTCCCACTTCTCATTCAATCAATACTGTTATGAAGCAGTCTCATCTATCATTCAATTGTCCACCCCTAACCGACAGATACTAGTTCTTAATAGCATGAACAACCGTGCATGTGTTGATTATGTAATAATCAACCCAAAGCCTAAATTCCCATCTAATCAACGATGTTTTGAAGCAATCATCTATATCATTGTCCCCCTTTTTCCCCCTTCCCACCCCCAAAAACAGATTAAAACCAACAAATACTAGTTCTTAATGTAATTGGGAGTAGTTTAAACTAAGATTTAAGGCCACTCAAACCAATTCCTGAATACAATAGAGAATAATTCGATAAAATGAAAGTAATAATCATACGTCCAATTTGATTTAAAGCATGACCACATACTGAATCATGTGCTAAAACTTTTTGTAAATGGAGATATGTCAATCCTTAATATAAAGATACTGATGAAGCATGCATATCATGCTTGACAGATATTGGGGTGTGCCATGCGATCAACTCTCCTTAAGCTCAACCATTTTGAAAGCTTTTTTTTTTTTTTTTTACAAATACGGTCTACCATTGATTAATGAGTGCCCAATTTGATTCAACATACATGTAAAAGCTTGATACAACACAGCCAATTTGAAAAGAAACTTCATAAAATTCAAGCTTCCAACTTAATCAAACTTCATCCAGATACCTATAAGAAAATTAAGGCCGCAAATTGAACCCAAAATTAATTGGGACAGGAACAATCATATAGAAATGTACTAAATTATTAACATTCATAAAGAATACACACTGGGTAGAGACAAGACAAAATTCAGAAAAAGAACTAACAAAAAGGGGGGGGGGGGCTTACTCGGGAAGGAGACGAAAGGCGGAGAGAATATCCTGAAAGATGAGGGATTGGAGATTTTTGGGGAGTTTACTATAAGCGCCTCTGAGAATGAAGCTGAGCTCTTTACATGCTACTGGGTATCGGTAGACTCTTGGCAGTGATTCCCCAAGACAAATCTTTCGGTATCTCTCCGTTGGATTTGACATTTCAGGGATTGAACAGTACAACATTCGACGCAGGAATATAAGCGAGAAGACTAACTTTTATTGGTATGGTAATTAGGGTCTGGGCACCTTTTTGCCCGTGGGTGCCATTTGGATAACATCCTTTAAGGCTGAAGGCCTTAAGCCCATCAGCCCTCGAGTTGGCGTGCGAAGGGTCCAGGGCAATGGCTGGAACCAGTGGGGGACTTTGAAAGTTAATACCCCATTGTTCTTTTTTTATTTCCTAACATATCCCAAACATAAAATTTTGTTTTTTTTTTCAAATTTAAATATCTTTATTTTGTTAGATTTATGTTAAATAAAATTGTTTAGATTTTAAATTTTAAATAATATTAAATTTTATATATAAATATTTTTCAAATATTCATTTATAAAATATTATAAATCCATTTATAATATTTTATAAAATTTTTTTATTCTTGGATCAAAATTAAATTCAGTACTTACACTTAACCGTTTTGATCCAAAGATAAAAAAAAATGTAACTCTTACACTACTATAACTAGATCCCTTCTCTTATCTATAAATAAATAATTTAATAATTTTTAATAATTTATTAACTTTTTAAATATGCCATAAATTCTATTATATATAAATTTTAATTTAATATTTTTAATAATCAATTATTTTCATCTAAGCTCATTTATCATTATTGATTTTAATATTTACATTTCAGTGCTCAATTTTCACCATAACCAAAAAAAAAAAAAAAAACCCTCTTCTCAGTGGCCGATCACCCAAACTTTTGAAAGCCCTTTAAGATATGCTACACATTATAATAATTTTATAAGTATTTATATTAAATTAAATTAAAATTGTTATTTATTAATTTTATTTTTTTTATCTCTGACCTAATTTTATGTATTATGATTTAAAATAAATAAATTATATAATTATTTGTTTATGTATTGTATCTAAAATCATTATTCACAAACCTTTAATTAAAAGCAATAAACTTATCATAAATATTGAGTTACAGCTATGTAAATTAAAAAAAAAAAACAAATTAATCTTTTTAGATTTTTTAACAAAATTCTATATCTTCAACCACTAACCAAGGGTATATTGTTTTTCTTTTTAGTCCACTGCATTTATCTATTCATATTTTTGTGACCATTTTTATTTCTTTTTTTGTTTGATAAATCCCCAAATGAACTATATTAATTATTAAGATTTTTCTTTTTTTTTTTGAAGTATCAAGTATTCATGCTCGACACATATACCATAAACATAAATACGAGGGTCAAACAATCTAAATATAAATTTTTTTTTATAAATTGAGAATTTTTGTGTTGAATATATATCCGTATTTGATATTCACTTTGAATAATATAACAAATAAAAAATATATATAATCTTAAATGACCGCAAAACCAAATGTCGAGCCCTGGCACCGCCTCTCCTATAAAAAAGAAAAGTTTGCATACTTGTGAGCTTTTAACTTCCTGTCCGTAATTTGTCCAAGACTTGCGTGTCTTCTCATGCATGGTTGCAGCCTTGCAGGGTTCTGGATACGCAAATTTGATGATATTTTTGCATGCTTTCCTAGTCCTGTATAAAGTCTGGAGATGGATTATATAATATACATATATATATGTATATACACTAATAGAAGAACAAAAATTAAAGTTCACCAACCAGTTGTTCCTCTAATAAAGTGTAATAAGGAGCACGAGGATTCTGAAAATATAGAAGACTCGATCGGTCCCCTGGATGTTCATTAATTTATATTCTCGTTTAAGTAATTCCTAAGAAGACTCTGCATCTTGGCAATGAAGTTATGAGTTAATAATTTTCATAAAATGAGGATTGATAGCATCAGAAATCCTTAATTAATGTCATTGTTGAACAAAATTTAATACTATATGTGAAGTTTATTTGGTGATTTTTCTCCTGTAGATCATCACATTGGTACTTGAGTTGCAGCTAGTAGTATAGCCCTCTCATTTAGTAATATAGGGACATTGCCTTGCAGATTTACAAGTAAATTTTTTGTCTTGTGATCTCCAGAACACTTTCATCAGAAATAATCTGAGTCCTTCAATTTTACATTGAGAACGCAACTGCGAAAGCCTATATCCTCATCTCGTAGATCCATCATTGTAAGCACCATTTTGTATTATTTGTATTATTATTATTATTATTATTTCTTTCTTTTTCTATTTTTCTGTTTTTTTTTTTTTGTTTCTTTCTTTTTCCTTCTTCTTCTTCTTTTCTGTTATGATCAGTTTAACAAAAAATGCGAGTACATTAAATGCACTCTCCCTTAAAGTCTAAAATTATCACCGCCACCATCAGCAGTCGTATAAAATCTTATCTAATTTGATAGCGTAAATTTTGGGTTAAAAATATGAGATTTAAATATAAAAAAATCTAAAATTTGAATCTCAAAAAGCTCTATAAATAGAGCTCATTTCCTATATGATTGAAGGGAGAGGAGGATCGAAACAAAAATTTATCAAAAAAATTTTTTAGAAAAAAAAAAAAATTATGTCAAAAAAGATACCCTGTAAAAAAGTTTAAAAAAAGTAAAAAATTCAAAAACATAATCCCTTGGAACAGGGAACGGGGAACGCAGCACCGGTATAAAAAAAAACACACAAACACAAAAAAAAGTTTGCTCGAAAGATCTGCGTCGTTTGGGATACTTTCAGGTGAAACGGAGGTTAGATCTGTGTTTAGGGGGTTGAAAAGAATATTTTAGGTAATTTTAGCTTTTTATGATCACTGATGACAGCAGTCGACGACCAGCGATGACGACGACGGTACCCGATCGGTCTCTTGCATTTTGGCTAAAAAAAGGATTTTTTTTTATGAGAGATGAGAGAATGGTTGAAAAATTTTTTGGGCCTTTTATATAAATTGCTAGAATCAAAACGACGCTGCTTCAAGACTAAAACAACGTTGTTTTGAGCCTTGAGGATTCGCGTGTCAACTCGTAACTCTATCCGAGGTCCATGCACCCGACTCGGTGACTCGCGTCCCTTCAACTACTGCAACCACCACCAGCAGCCATATAAAATCCTACCTAACTTGATAGCGTGAATTTTATGTTAAAAATATGAGATTTAAATTCCAGAAAATCCGAGATTTGAATCTTAGAAAGTTTTATAAATAAAGCTCATTTCCTGCATGATTGAAGGGAGAGGAGGATCGAAACAAAAAATTATCAAAAAATTTTTTCAGAATAAAAAAAAATATTCTGTCAAAAAAGATACCCTGCAAAAAAAATAAAAAAAAATAAAAAATCCAAAAACACAATCCCTTAGAACGGGGAACGCAGTGCTAGCATAAAAAAAAAAAAACAACACACAAACACAAAAAAAAAGTTTGCCCAAAAGATCTGCATTGTTTGGGATACTTTCAGGTGAAAACAGAGGTTAGATTTGTGTTTAAGGGGTTGAGGAGAACATTTTAGGTGATTTTGATTTTTTACGATCACTGATGACGGCAATCAATGACCAGAAACGGTGACAACGACACCTAGTCAGCCACCTGCGTTTTGGCTAAAAAAAGGGTTTTTTGTGTGAGAGATGAGAGAATGGCTAAAAAATTTTTTTGGGCATTTTATATAAAATTGCTAGAATCAAAACGACATCGTTTCAATAAGGACCAAAACAACGTTGTTTTGAGCCCTAAAGATCCACGTGTTAACCCATAACCTGACCCTGGGTCCGCGCACTTGACCCGGTGACCCGCATCCCTTCAGTCTCTGATCGATCCAGTCGAACCGTCCCAGACCAAGTCAGATCGATTCTGAACCAACCAAACTGGATTGAGCCGCCAAATTGATTGGACCAGCTTTGATAGGACCGTTGATCGGTCCGATTTAGGTAAAAAAATTTTTGAAATTTTTTATTTTTTATATATTATTTTATTAATATTTATGCATATTAAAATATTTATATTTGTTAGATTAAATTATAAAATATGTAGTTAAATTTTTTTATAATTTTGTTAAATTTTAAAATAAACTTATAAAATAAAAATAAACCTTAAATAATTTTAAAAATAATAAAAATATAAGAAAATTTTTTTTTATCCGACGATGAGATTCAAAGGTACTTTCGAATAGTGATGCCTACGAAATCTTTAGGTAAAAGGATTTTTTTTAAATACTACCAATGCATTAGAGTATTTACAAAAAGATTTTCAATACAATAAAAATTTTCTTTTTATAAAAATAAAAAAAATAAAAATTAATTAATTTATTATTAAAAAATAGTAATATAAATAATAAAAAAGAAAATTTTATCTAATGATGAGATTCTAAAAGTATTTCGAGTAGTGATGCTTTACGAAATCCCTAGATGAAAAGATTTTTTTTTTTAAATATAACCAGTGTATTGAAATATTTATAGAAAAACTTTAATATAATAAAAATTCTTTTTTTCTTCAAAAATTTAAATTAAAAATAAAAATTAATAAAATAATTAATAAAATTTCTAAAAAAAGAGAATAAAATATGTGCATTAATATGGTAACATTCTGCATTACATGCATGATATAACTTTTTTACAAAAAGTAAATTTGAGCCTCCGATGAGATTTTAAGGTATTTCGAGAAGCGATGCTTAAGAAATCTTTAGGTGAGAAAAAGTTCTTTTAATGTTATCAACGTATTAAAACATTTTAAGAATTATTTTGATAAAAGGATTCTAATTTATTTTTCTTGAATAAAATTTGAGCACTAAAAAATACATTAAAAAAATAATTTCTAATAAATTAAAAATCAAAAAAATTATTTAAAAAATTATTTTTCAAATACAAAAAATAAGACTGTTTTTATTGAAATCAATAAATAATACATAGTTAATTGGTACCGTTTTAAATGGACATTATGAAGATTTTAATTTTTTTCCATACGTAATCGATTCTCGAATTTATACTGTTACGTAGATCCTAAAACTTTTATTTTAAAAAATTTTAATTAATTTTAAAATTTTATTAAAAAAATATATTTTAATTGATAACCAATCATATTTAACTAAAAAACATTAATGACAACTCTATTTTTTTTTATTTAGTTTTTAAATTCTTCGAACGGATATAAATCCGTTATGACAATCATTAATGTCATATTGGAGACAAACACTGATACGACAAAGCTAATGTCTTGTTAGCAGCTACAGTGACTGAAAATATATAGCCGCGACAAGTAGCATGTGTGAGGTTTCGGTCCCCACCTAGGCTGATGTAGCAATTAGCAAGGTGAAAAACAATGTCATATTGCTACGCTTGGTTGTGCTTCTTTTGTTGAGAAGCAGCAAATCCAACATGGAAGACAAAATTAAGTAGATTGACACAGAAAACCATTGTTATCAGAACTTGGCGTTTCTCCTAGCACAATTTGTCCATGTATCCCTATCCTGCTGGTTGGCATGTGCAGAACTTTCTCATTTCATGCCCCCTTTTTATTTTCTGCCACTTCATTCGCTGAAAACAGGCCACCTTAACTTTGCGTTATGTTACAAGCAAATGGCAGGACAACTAGGGTGGAACGGGCATGTTTGTAAGGGCACGATCCATCTCATCTTGGACCCCATGACCTAGGGGACCAGAAGTTCCTTGATTCCTTTTTCTCTCTCTCTCTATCTATCCATATATATATATACATACATATATATATATATATATATAACGCAAAAACCTACTTTGTCAATTTCTCCCAATTATAATTTTTCAGCACAATGAGTTAGTAACACATTATCCTATCATCTGAAGAAACCCCAAATTCTTTTTATTCAATAATCACATTATCAATAAAATAAACCATAAAATCTTGAAAAAAGTTTTGAAATTAAAAAATGTTATAAACTTGTAGGAGAGATTGTATGCAGAATGATGAGGCTGCAGTTCTTGCCTTTCTTTTAGGAGTAGCAGAAATGTAGAATTATTCTTCTCTTCATACAATAATGCATGAAAATATTATGCTAGAATATTGCTGCAAATATATGGGCACAGAAAAAGCCTTAGAAATGATTGTGTTCTGAAAATCAAGTTAAAGCTCTGGCTAATGGATGGTCCAGGAGGGGTCTGCAATACAGTTAATTACTTCGGATGAGTCCAAAATCGATGCAACATGTTTCTAAAATGACATCAGGGAATCAAAAGCTTTCATAAGAATGAAGCATGTTTAACTTTAGAGTTTTTTACTTCAATAACACATTTTTCTTTTCAGTCTGTACCTGGGAAGAGTGAAAATCATATGATAATATCAAAGCCAAATGGAGGATCAACTGGCAATAAAAAGGGTCTGTTCTTGTTTAAATCAAAGCTAAGAGGAAGACTTTATATGTCATCACATAAAGTTTTGGATAATAGAAGAGAGATTTTATTCAGATATATGCAACATTTCTCTCTAATTAAGTAGGTGGGGATAGCAGTGGATATGTGAATCTGCTAAATATTTAGTAAAAGGCTTGTAAGGCTTCCTTTCATGTAATCAAAACTCTCATTTGATGGGATCAAACAAACTATAAAAATCAACAATTATGAATATGGAAATTATCAGCTGTGACCATTTATGGCATCTTATCATATAATGGATATGAGTTTTTTTCCTTTTTTTTTAATAAAAAAAATTCCCTTCTAATTGATTGTGATGGAAACTAAACTTACAAAGCAGGTGAAAGAGAATTTGAGCATACTTGAAAGTTATGCTGCTTTTGGCATGTGGAGAGAGACAGTGATATTAATAATAGAGGGAGAATAAAAATGTCTATTAAATAATGATGACATTAGAGTTTGATTTTATTTTCTTTGTAATACAATTCCTCATCATAAGAAATAAAGAAGAAATTAGCTGCAAAACAAGCACATTTCATTATTCATACAAATTTATTAATTTTTTCAACTAAAGGATATGTACCCTCAATAAAATAATCATTATTTCATTAAAATTAAAACTTTACAGAAATAAAGGAAAGGATTCCTTGAAGCAGTTAGTCTTACTCTTTCGAAGAAAAAGATAAAAAACAAAATTTCAAAGTAGCATTCTTCTTTTTCCCCCTCAGGGCCAGAATTCCATGGCCAACCATTTACACAGCTTTGACTTCCTTACAGAATAAATGTACATTGTCATCCCAAAAGAAGAGAAGGAAGAGGACAAACAAGTGAACAGATAACCTCCTTGACACCTCCTATTTCCTCTCTCTCCCATGTGGATTTGAAATGGATCCTTCTCCATTCATTTTCCTGAAAACGAAATAGGAAAGAATACCAGCTTCAGAATTTGATTCCAAATACTCAAATAGAACAACAATAAGCAAAAGAAGATTAGCATACCAATAGATTTTTTGCAATGCAGAACTGCCTCATAAATTGAGCTTTCAGAATCACATGACTTTCGCCATTCATCGGTGGAGTATGCGACACTTATTCGAGGAGATGTTCCTGCTGAATATACCCAGTTCTTCATTACCTGAACTCTTGCATCAACACTTTCAGCTCTACCACTTGACTTGCAACCTCGTATTCTTCTATATAATGGCTTAAGAAAATCCAAGTATTTCAAAAATATTCGCTTGGACAATCTTCGACACCTTCTCAAAGGAGGACGATGTGTTTTACTAGCTGGAACCACAAGGTTCGGTGCGTGTGAAGAGGTAGGCAGGGTTGAAGTTGAATCAGAAACTTCATATGCCTCCATCTTCAAAGGGTTAACAAATAAAGGCATGACATAACCATTGGAAAAAAGCTCATCTGCATGAACAAGGGTGAGAGGAGTTTGTGAAATGGGAAAGTCAAACTTAAAATCTTGAGAATTTCTGAAGAATCTCCTAGAGGGTGGCATTCTTGGGTCCATCTCAATGAAGGAAGAAGCTTCATCACGTGCATCAAGAGAGGATTTGAGGGAGCTGTCTAGACTGTCTAAAGAAGGTTTTAGGTTCACTAACCAACTGTATGAAAAGCTTTCAATGGAAAGGGGCTGGGAAGTTTCCATGGCTTCCACTCTATTAATGGATGCAGGAAAACAAAGAAGAGATTGAATTTGAACTGTAAGGGAAAGGGACTAAATGTAGGCAATAGCAAAGGCCCGCCTCTTATGTAACATATCTCAAATATATACAACCATATATATATATATATATATATATATGGTTGTTTGGCAAGAGATAATGAATTTTAATAATTGAAAAGGGAAAAGGAGAAAACAAACAGAAATGTGAGACCCCACTAGCACTCATAGTGCACTGTTGCATCAAACCTTTACCCCACACTTCCTTTTAACTTTGCAAAACAGATGACCTCTCATCGCAAATTTGTTTAATCCATATTCGGTAGAAATTAAAAGTAAAAAGAAATTAGGTTCATGTATGTACTTCATCTGTATCTCAAGCAGCATTTCAGAAACTAAAGCAAGCACATAACAATCTACCCTTTCTATCATTTCTCATAAATTTTATGCTATAAAAGGTGAAACAACAACAACAATGGAAAAGCAATCCCGGTTTATGAGGAGCAGGTTCATGCACAAGTATAATTTATCCAAGATGCTACTTAAAACTACAATAAAAGAGTAACTAATGTCTTCGTACTTTATAAAATTCCTCCTTCAACAAACCTAAACAACTTATTCTTATATCCTAGTAAAAGTTGTTGCTTTCACTTAGTTTGCTTTCGTTTCATCATCCGCTTGTCATGTTTTAATGTCTACAGTTTTTCTATTGGGATGGTTGAAAGGATGACTTCACCATTATGATGCTTACATCCTAACTGCTATGACTCAAGTCTCAGCTTAAAGGATAATATACCTTTTTTATACCACAATAAATGCCATTGGTACAATAAACAAAGAAACTATAAATGTGACAAAATGTATGTAGGAAATTGCTGTGTGCTTTCCTTAATCTAACATGTATGAGAACAGTTTATCTCCATACCCATACCCCCAACATGTCTCAAAATAATAATATCAAACCAACATAAAAAGAAGCAAAGGGAGAACTTTAAAGATTATAGGGAAGTACATCAAGAAAATATAATGTGCAGGCCTGCCTAATCCCATTATAATTCGTATAACCATGGAAAACCTTAAATTACAAGGGGAATTGAACGAGATGCAACAGCTTGTGGATTAGGAAAAGTACACCAAAACACTGCTCAGCCAGGTTTACAGAATTTTGACAAGGATAATATGACAATTACACAAGAAGACAATGAACATAAATAATATTGCAGAGTATGGATAATAGATAAAATAAAATGATGCGCATTGTCACACGTTACTGCAGTTTGGTCCTTGAATCAATTGAGAAGATATATTAGAAATCTCAAGGAGAAGAAAAAGGAAAAAGCAAATATCACCAAGTTCTATTGGTAAGGAAATTTCGGGCTTTTGCATCCACTAATAGTGACTAGTGGTGGTGAGATTGAATCTTCTCAAAACTTGAAAGCTACAGAAAGAGATGTCATTTTCATTAAAAATAGAAGTAATTATTATTATTATTACCGACAATCTACAAAAACAAAAATAGCAGACAAGGGTTCCTAGAATTGTCGGAGAATGAAATGGACATTGACCTAGATTTCTGGGCCAAAAGCCAAAAGCCAAAAATCGAAAGTGACTGGAAACCAACTGGTCCCTACATTGTAGCCTCCTTCAGGACAACAAGCAATAGATAGAGAATCTAAGCATTCATAAAGCAGTTAAGTTCAATAGATAGAGAATCTAAGCATTCATAAAGCAGTTAAGTTCTGAAAAGAATGTTTTTGATTGCATAAAATATCATTCTAGCCTTGAGCAAGAATCATGTATTCAATTCATCTAACATCTTAACATATAATTAAAAAAAAAAATTTAATAGTACTCTATGATATTGGTATGACAACCTTCATAACTAAAGCATTCTGTGTAAAAAGTAGTGAATAGACACCAGAAAACAACTTTATATGCATGGCTAAAAAAGTGCAGGGAAACTTGAACTATCAAAAGATTGATCTAAGTGTTTGTGTCACGGATCTAAGAAAGAGTTCTGAATTTCATATCGAACATAATAGGAGGGTCATTGAGGTGTAAAGGGTTCACATCACTTTCGCCTTGTGAGACACCTTTTGTAGGATAAAATCGTGAGGTCAAAAAGGTCAGAGCGGACAATACCTCACAAGGGTGTGAACCGTGACGGTCAGATTGATCCGGAACGTCGGATGAGTGAATGCTCGAGTCCCGGAGCCGTGTGGGTTCGGAGCTTAAGTCTCGACCCGTGACAAATGGTATCAGAGTCAACCCTAAACCGTTCGATCTACGCCAAGCACTTCGAGGGAGGTAGGCAGCGTGACCAGTCTCCGTGATAAGGATGTCACGAGATTAGGTGGAGAAGAATGTCACGGATCTAAGGAAGAGTCCTGAATCCCACATCGAACATAATAAAAGGGTCACTGGGATGTAAAAGAGTTCACACTACCTCTGCCTTGTGAGACGCTTTTTGTAAAACAAAATCGTGAGGTCAGGGATCAGAGCGGACAATACCGACGATCAGACTAATTCGAGACGTCGAATAAGTGAATGCTTGAATCTCAAAATCACGTAAGTTCGAAGTTTAAATCTCGACCTGATAAATTTAAATGCAAAAAAGCAAAGTGAATCTAACTATTTGTTCTATAGCAGGCCTCAAAAAAAGGAAATTTGACATAGTTCCCAGTAGACTTTCTCTCTGTATATCGCCTTTCAACAGCTACAGTGGCTCATAACAGCTTTACAGGGATGCTGCAATCATATCAATAAAGGGTTAAAACAGGAAATTGACTTTAACAAAACCCAAAATTCTGCCATAAAATGAAAGGAACATCCTGCATATTCTGACGAGGCATTATGTAATAGATCACATAAGAAAACCATAAATGCCTGTATCAACAAGGGTAATCAATACAAAATTACTGCAGTCATCTAAAGCCAAAACAACAGGAAAATATCTATCATGATAAATTCAGGTAACACACTAAAGAAAAAACACACTTACTGAATATAGATGGAAAAACAATGGCAACTAACACCTAATTCAAGGGAAAAAAAAAGGACAGAGCAAAACACATTACTGGTATTTAATAATATTTACAAACACAAAAGCATTGATACCAGCAGGTTCCTGGATTGTACAAAGACAACATTATTATCACCAACTCAAGGAACACAAGTGGTAGCATCCTCTGCGCAAGTCTATAAGGTACAAAATCCATCGATTATTCCCAATTTACACATCTGTAGAATGATAATCAAACCAAACCCTAGATAATTAATTTGGAATCCTTCATACTTTGGATAAATTTTAATTTTCGAGTTTTCTTTATGATAATTTGAATAATATTGGTTGATCCATGGATTCATTTAGTCTAAAGTTTATTTTTTCTGTAGATAATATAACATGGAGAATATGCAATATGCTGAAGAGCTTGTGAGGGAATTTTTGGTCTTCGGAGGATTTACAAATACATTACAAGCTTTTGAGAGGCAGAGAGAATCGTGTACGGATATTGGTAAAGGGTTTCAAGTTGCTAAGATATTAGACTTAATTTTTGCGGTGTATATTCCTAAATTTCAGGCCGAAAAATTAGTTGGTCTATCCAGTTTCTGTAAGCAGTGCCTTTCCTCGTGGTCTGAGACTACGATGCTTGATACCTTGTCGAAATTGGAGGGCTCCGTTCTTTGGCGTTACACTGTTCATGCGTTGCAGTCTGGGAGGAAAGATAAAGCTGTGGAGTTTTTTTGAAATGAATGGAAATGGTTTGCTTCTAAAGAGTTATGATTGGACTCCATTGCTTGGTGGGTTCATTTGTTTTGGTTTCTTTGTTTTCTACTTTTTCTCCTTTTTTTTTTTTTTGACAGATTTTATTGAGTATGCAATGCAGCCATTACTTACTTAAAGAAGAACCCAAGCTCGGATCCTCGGTTTCGTGTTTATTTCTCCAAGTAATGGTATGAAGCTCTCCGTCTTTCTGTGAGGAATTTTTTCGGCGAGATCTTCAATGGTAATCATATCCTTTGGATTTGATGCTTTCCTTCTGAATATGCTCTACATAAATTGTCTATGTTATTGCGTAGATTAACAGAGAGCCAATAGGAGTCAACTTTTTAGGGCACTTTTTCTCCATTTCAAAATGAAATTGGTCTTCGAAGTTTTTGCATCTAAAGATATACATTGTGATTTTTTTTTTTTTGGGTACTAGTAGATATTAAATAGGAGCATAGCATTGGATTTAATAATTTTTTTCCTTGACATTAGAGTGATTCAATTAATGATGGGATTTTGAAGAATGTCCTTAACCAAACGACGTCTTCCTGCCCTTTTGAAGATCAGTTCAGGAAAGAATACAATTAGCCGTCTTAAGAAAGACAACAAGCATCTTAATCCGAAGTACTAGCTGTTTAAGTTTGTTAGAAACTTGAGCAGGCAAAATTCCACCATCAGGATCTAGGGATTGCGCAATAAAACGGCCACAGTTCGGATAATCTTTGAACCTGCAACAAAATATTTGCAAAGCAGAAAAAGTGTAAACTAACTTCAGAAACTTCTGAAGGAATACAAAGAACTTGTACTAAGATGAGCCAAGAGCAAACATTTCCTTTGTTCACCATGGAGAATACCAATGATCAATCCATTATCACATGGCCTTGGTTCTAATGTTGGCAAGTGGATGCATCATATTTTTGAAGAAAAAACAAAATGATTGTGAGAGTCAGAGAGACAACTGAATCAAAACAAACTCACTTCTCATAGAGATCCTTGAGTTTTGTCTCCTAGGGACCAGACCACACGTAAATAACCTAACACCTTAAAACAATTTGATACCAAATCCTAGTTGAATTCATGGCTCTTCCTCTAGAAAGGTGAAATATGTAGGCCAAATGCATTAAATTTGCAAGCATCTCTTCTGATGTCCTAGGTCATGAGAGTTCACAACATCAGCTTCATCCTCACCCAGTGAATTCACTATGCTTCTGCAAACCCATTCACCGGTCTGTGAGGACCTAATTCTCCATTTCCTGGAGTACTCTCCTGATTTCTACTTCCTTTCTTCCAATGGCCCAGTTCATGCAATAAATATTCAGCATTATTGTAATGGCATTCTCTCTGTGTCTTCCAGAAGAGAATTTCAATAAAAAGGGGCTGGTTCTTCATTTTTTAAGCATGTTTCTGACCAAACTAGTAATAAAGCCAACAATATCAGCATGGCCCTTAGTTGGACACGACTTCTGTTCTAAAAAGTATGTCATAGAATGTTCTAAGAAGTGACAACTGCAAAATTTTGTATAAAGCTAAACATATGTTAGGTTTTTTCCATTCAGAAATTCAGCATATTCTCTATGAAAAATGCATTTCCAAGTTTTGACCTGATAAAGCATTGGAGCAAGCTCGAGGTCATCAGTGATCTTCCGCAACGTGCCAATAATGTAGTGATCTGTAATACTGGAATTGCTCCTATAAACTTATGTAACCAGCACAAATTGTGAATAATACCGCAGTTTGCAAAAGCTGAAATGAGAGTAGACACTTTAAAATCAACTTCATTAACAGCGTCAGGCTGTTCATCACCAGAAGAATCATCTGTCCTGCAACAAAGATCACCGACAGCATCACCAGGTGCATTATTATCAACCTTTGGCAGATCTCCAGGACTTCCTATATTTGTCTCAGACGTTCCTAGCTCATTAACCAAGAGAGGTGTACTAGTATCTTCTTTCCAATCAGATGTCTCCTTCATTGAGCTTTCTTTTTATGACACAAATCTGCTGATTGTTCACAAACTAAGGAGCCAACCCCATCTGGTGCAGCAGCATGGTCTTCAAACTGTTCAGTTTTGGTAACACTGTCGCTAACTGCTTTCTTCTTCCTCCCTTTCCTCAATTTTCTAGAAACCTTAATCCTGAGATTCACATTTCAAAGTATAATTACAACAGAAGCAAGAAAGAGAAGAAAGCTTTTCAAAATGGATAAAAAGCAAAACAGGAAACCCATAAGCAGTGAAGCATGATGCAAGTTTATGGACTAAAAATCAACAGAGTAGGATCTCAGGCAAAAATGGGCATGCACATGGGGAGAGAAGTGGGAGGGAGTTGCCTAATAAAATTAAAGGACTTTTTGTAGCATATAAGCAGATCAGTACACATAAGAATATGCATTTTTGTAGATGACCTTAGAATCTTCTTGAAATAAATTAAGCACTAAATCCAACATAAGAATCTGCATTCAGAAAACAAAAGAGGGGGAGGGGGGACTCCATTTAATGGGGTAGCATGTAAGCAGATCAGTACGCTCAACCAGGGTAGAAGCTTTTCAAAAGGATAAGTTAGAATCCCATGACAAGAAACTGTTCTTTCTCAATTTCAAATATTAACAGATAACCTAAGGTCATCCTCATAAAAGAATTGTCCGTATCTGAAAGTGTACAGTGCCCTTTTTTTACAGATACATAAAAAGAACGATTCTTTCTCCTCAAGTAAATATTATTTATATAGGCAAATGTTTAGGTTTTTGGGCATAGTAGGTAGGTAAAACATTTATCAATGTATCTTAGTTTGTGAGTGCACGAGAGAAAGACAAAAGCTAGTAACATAAACAATATCCAATTCAACAGCAAACAAACTTGGCAAAGCAAGCATACGAAAGCATAGATAGTCAAAGCAAGTACATATCACAATATTTTTCATAAGAGAACTTGCTGCAGCTAGAAGCTCGTAATCATTAGTTTCTTTCAAGCCTCAAATGCATTACACCATCTTGAAATCACAAGTTGGAACATTGATTCTGTCATTGATACTGCAATTGGTCCACATTCGTCACCTTCAGAAAATGTGCTATCAGCACACTTATCAACTGAAACTTCAAAAATAGCATTTAGACGGTGGCTGTTAAAGGGAACCCATGTCCAATGCAAACATTTATTAAACAAAAGAGACTAGTCTAATGAAGCCATTGACTATTTCAGCAAGGAATATATCAAACTACAATTGAAGGAATGAAACTAAATTCATAACAACTAAAATACTGAGAGATTACGGTTTTAGATCTGAAGATTCTGAACAACTGTAACTAATTTTAACCTTTCAATAAGAAGCTTTCAACCAGAACTTTACTTATTTGCAGACCAAAAGCTACAACAAAACCAATTTCAAAGTTTCATGAGGAGACTACATATTACATGTTCCAGGATGTTTAAGCAAGTTCAACACAAATAAACAAGTATGGGTCAAAGGTACAAAACATAAATCATCAAAACTGTTCATCATGAACTAAATCTTTACATTTAAACTTCAGGGGCAATGTAGTCTTTCTTGGCACCATTTATTCATAGTTAGTTGTGTCCTTTTTGGACATAATCCGATAACCAACCATTAACAAGAAATTAGCATAACCTGAAAAGAAAAATCAGTTTTCTCTGTGGGCCTCAAATTAAGGTCAAAATCTTGCAAAAAAGGACCATCTAGGTCTAGTAAATCAGTCCCACTATTCTTTTTGTTTATCACACTCAAACCTTCTACAACCATGAAAATGTACTTGAAAGCATCAAATTATGTTAATTCCCCAGTCAGTAGTTTACCACGAAAAAAAGTTTCTCCAGCACTGCTGCTTCTGTTAAACTAAAACTTTTTAACAGTGCTTGGATATTTAAGGGAAAAAAAAGCAGGGTAAATGGCTGAGAAGGTGAGGATAGTATAGGAAGCAACTCATGTTTACTTTGTTCAGAAGTGGAGAATTAACAAGAGAGTTTATGTGCTATTCCTAACATAGCTCAATTAGAAATCATTGCTAAAACAAATCTTATATGTGAATCACAAGCTGAAAACATTAAACTATAATATTCTATGAAAAAACTAAGAAATAAATCAGTGTGAAAACTGAATGTATATTAGAAAACTGCTAATTGAGAATTATACAAGAATCTTAGGTTTATATACAACTAACTAGGATTTAAACTAGGAAACTAAATCTTCCTAAAAAACTAATCCTATAATTGAGGGATTGCCTATCCTAATTTTAGGGATACAAATACTTAATTCTAGAGATACAAATATAAATATACAGATTACAACCAACTGTAAATAAGTGTTTTCCCACACTCCCCCTCAAGCTGGTGAATAGGTGTTTTCCATTCCTAGCTTGAAAATAATTTCCTGAAATGTTGCACTGCTGAGACCTTTAGTCAACACATCTGCAAGTTGACCCTTGGTTGATACATAAGGTGTACAAATCAACCCACTGTCTAGTTTCTCATTTATGAAATGCCGGTCTACTTCAATGTGTTTTGTTCTGTCATGTTGCACAGGATTGTGTGCAATGCTTATTGCAGACTTATTATCACAGTAGAGTCCATTGATCCATCCCACTTGATCTTCAAGTCTTCTAAGATAATCTTTAACCATAGTAGTTCACAAATTCCTTGAGCCATTGCTCTGAACTCTGCTTCAGCACTTGATCTTGCCACCGCATTCTGTTTTTTACTCCTCCAAGTCACAAGATTACCACCTAAGAAAGTACAGTAGCCTAAGATGGATATTCTATCAGTTACTGAACCTGCATAATCAGCATCTGTATATGCTTCTAGAACTAACCCTGAATTTCTTTTGAATAAGATACATCTCTCAGGATTGGCCTTCAAACAGTACAATATACGGTAAACAACCTGAAGGTGCACTTTTTTAGGACTATACATAAATTGACTTACCACACTCACAGCATATGCTATATCAGGTCTAGTATGTGAGAGATAA